GCTGGAATCTTGTAGCTGGATGAGCTCCAGGGGGAGCCATACACTGGAGGGTAACAGCTTCTCCAAGGAGGTACACGGGGCACCGAGGCCTCACAGACAGGGCCGGTGCTGCAGGATGGTCTGAAAAACACAAGGTTCAATGTGAAACGTTGAAAGAGAGCGTCTCATACGCATCCCCTTGCCCTCTCCCTAAGCTCCGGCGAGCCCTCCCGAGTCCCAGTCATGAGCTCCTAGGACAGGACGTTCTACGGGCTATGAGAGATCAGACTAGCCTGACCTTCTGCCTGGAAATCGATGAGTCTGTGAATCACCCAGCGGAAGTTTACAGACTCACTCTGCAAAAACTTCATGTATCCGGTTACAGTACAGCCGGCCACCCCTGAAAAGGGCTTCCCATGGTGCCGATCCCCTTACGCCAGGGAGAAATGTTTCAGGGGGAGAGAGGGGCCTGGGAGCATCAGAATAATAGAGAGAGAGACTGGAATGAAACCGCACACGGCTGCAGTTGAATTTGTGTGTGTGGCTGTGAGAGATACGGATGCTCAGGTAGCAGCGACCACGGCATGTTTTAGGCATTTAGAATCTTAGAAATGTCGGGCTGGAAGGGACCCGAGAGGGTATCTAGTCCAGCTCCCTGTGCTGAGGCCGGGCCAAGTAAACCTAGACCAGCCCTGACAGGGGTTTGTCCTGCCTGGTCTTGAAAACCTCCAATAATGGAGATTCCACAACCGCCCTTGGAAGTGATTCCAGAACTCAACTCCCCTTAGAGCTACCAAGTTTGTCCTCATCTAACCTCAGTCTCCCTTGCTGCAGGTGAAGCCCATCACTTCTTGTCCTGCCTTCAGTGCACATGGAGAACAATCGATCCCCATCCTCCATAAATGCCCTTCACATGTCTGAAGGCTGTTATCAGGTCTCCCCTCAGACTTCTTTTCTCAAGAGTAAAACATGCCCAGTTTTTTTCACCTTTCCTCACAGGTCAGGCTTGTTAAACCTTTGATCCTTTTTGTTGCTCTTCTATGGACTCCCCCCATTTGTCCACATCTTTCCTAAAGTGTGGGGCCCAGATGTGGACACAGTTCTCCAGCTGGGGCCTCACCAGTGCCGAGTAGAATGGGACAATGACCTCCCGTGTCTCACCCACAACATGCCTGTTCATACACTTCAGAATCATATTAGCCTTTTGTGAAGCTGCATCACATTGATGACTCATATTCAATGGTTTATCCACTATCACCTCCTGATCCTTCTCACCAGTGCTTCCACCTAGCCAGTTATTCTCCAGTTTATAGTTGCACATTTGATTTTTCCTTCCTAAGTGAAGTACTTTGCACTTGTCTTCATTGACTTTCATCTTGTTGAATTTGGACCAATTCTCCAATTTTAAACCTGCCCTCCAAAGTGCTTCCAACCCCTCCCAGCTTGGTGTCATCTACATGTTTTATAAGCATACTCTTTACTCTGTTATTGAAGTCATTAATGAAAATATTGAATGGTACCGGACCCAGGACCCACCCTGTGGGACCCCACTAGATATGCCCTCCCAGTCTGACAGCAAACCATCGATTCCCACTCTCTGAATACGCTCTTTCAACCAGTTGTGCAACCAGCTTCTAGTAATTTCATCTAGACCACATTTCCTGAGTTAGCGTCTGAGAATGCCATGTGGCACTGTGTCAAAAGCCTGACTCAGATCAAGGCTTATCATGTCTCCAGTTTCCCCTCTATGCCCTAGGTCAATAGCCCTATGAAAGGAGGAAATGAAGTTGGTTTGGCATGATTTGTTCTTGCTGGCTCTTTCTCATCACCCTATTATGCTCCAGGTGCTGACAAAGTGATTGTTTAATGATTTGCTCCAGTATCGTTCTAGGTATTGAAGCTGGGCTGGCTGGTCTATAATTCCCCGGATCTCCTTGTTCCCCCTTTTAACAGCAGGGACTATTGAGCTCTCTACAACGCTGCAGATCTGCAGAACCGTGCGTGTACCAGCTCTGTTTGTGTGGCAGTGAAACGCGGGCACCGAGGAAGGCGAAGAGCAGCGGATTGCTGGGTTTGAGTCTCACCATCTTCCTCCGCTGGATGGAAAACCAACAGATTCTGATGCCATGTTTACCAAGGAATTGCCGCCTCACAGCTGGCGATCACACGGTTGCCAAAAGCTTTGGCAGCCCAATGGAATCACCAGTGATGGACACAGGAACTCCCCTGTCACTGACATCTGCACGGCGCTGTCTGTCTGGGCAGGACGTCTCGCCCAAGTTCCCTTCACCAGTACCTGCAGCTTTACACCCTAATGGTCCCCATGTCCACCACCAGTTCCATCCCGGCAGCCCTCATGCGGCATGGTGTCCTCTTCCCTGATCCGCTCCCTGCTTTGTGTTTGGAATCTGTACCCTGACGCTGCCGGGAGCTGAACGGGTGAGGGTGATGTGTAGACAGGGTAGGAGGATTCAGGGAGACGTGGGGGGCTGGCAAGGGGGCTGGACAATGCTGGGTGGAGGAGATGGTTCTTGCTTGGTTGGGGGGGGTCTGGAATAGAGACAGGGGGTTAGTGCAGTGGGGGAGTCCCCCATGGAGTGGGGCAGCAGGGAATAGGTGGTATCAAGACCCCAGCATAGGAACATACAGCAGACTCTCCTCCCATCTGCCGGGCCAGGACTCCCATCTGCTGGCTCTAGGCACCAGCAAACCAAGCACGTGCTTGGGGCGGCACAATTTCAGGGGCGGCATTTCGCACTCCAGGAGGTTTTATTTATTTATTTTTGCTTGGGGTGGCAAAAAACCTAGAGCTGGCCCTGCCAAGACTGAGCTCCCCATCTATGAAATATCCTGTGATAAACCACCGGTAAATTACGCTCCACAGTAACCCAGTGGGAACAGCCCCCCCCATGCACTGATAACCCACTGGGGGTGGCATCTTCTCCCCTGACACCTGCTGGGCAGAATATCGTCACAGCCGGGGAACTCGGCTTCCCAGCCCATGCCCACCTCGCAGAAAAGGAAACTGCTCTCCTCCTCCCCCCTCAATCTTCAATAACCTGCCCGCAGAGCCACAGCCCCAG